TTAACCCTTAAATTGGCAAAATGGTGTTAAAGCTAATTAAAATAAAAAAAACATAAAATTGCATAAATTAGGCCCCATATTAAACAAAGGATTAGAAAAAAATTTTTGGAAAGGAAAAAAAATATGAGCTGTGTCCTATAGGATACATCGCCAAGTTTGGATTCATAAAAACATTTAAAAAATTCAGAAAAATAAACTTTAATTCCTGCTTTTTTATACATATAAATATATATAAAAAAAATTAAAATAAAAATAAAATTATTTTTGGTTATGAAAATTGAAGAAACAATTACGTTCCTTCACCAGGCACAGCCTCATACCGCATTTATCACACAGCCAATGAGTTGCTCCTGTTGTATATGTATGCTCCTGTGTCTGCATCTGCCTTTCGAGGAATATATAGGAAAATGGTCAACTTTGTCGTTACATACGTCTGTAGGTGGTCTTGCAGTTTGATTATGTGACGTAGAGAGTGTGGTGTTTCTGCAGAATTCCTTTTTCGTTTCACTCTATCTTTCATTTTCAGCAATTTGGCAATTTCTTATCTAAAATCTTTCAAACACATTTCTTCGTTTGGTGGTATATTTAGAATTTTTCTATCTCTCCTATATTAGCCATGCATTATTTATGGAAATATCCAGAATTTGAGCAAAAATTGACAAGTACCATCTACGGCTTTTCATAGTGATTCTGTACAGTGAAATTAACATGTCCATTAGATCTACACCACCCATATGAATATTATACTGGCGGACAATATCAGGACAAGGTATATTTATACTTGTTCTTTGGCTTTTGTCAAATCGTTTGACAGTTCCGAGAGGCTCAGCTGAACTAAATGAGCTAACTAATGTGACTGCCTTGTTAACATACCATTTGATACACTCTATTTTGTTTTTATTATCAGTTTTTTGACAATATGAGCCTCTGCCTCGTTTTGACAAAGTTTTGTCATTTTCCAAGATACAGTTTCGTAGTCTATTCGATCGTATGGTACCTAACGACAAAATACCATAGTTGTACCTTAGATGAACAAGCAGGTCTAAACTGGTAAAAAAGTTATCAAAATACAGAGCTGTACATGCAGGATATTGTATACTTTGAGAAAGTGGTACAACAGTTTTACCACCCAGTCCAAATGATATTTCTTCATTAGATAAACTATGCTGCCGAAATGTGTCTTCACCTCCATAAATTATAAAATCATACACCAATCCCGACACCCCTGCCCTTACAAATATTTTATATCCCCATTTCTTAGGCTTAGATTTAATATACTGTCTTTTAGATCCTGCTTTTTTTCCTTTATAGGGAACCATCATTTCATCTATACTTTGTTTTTTTTTCAGATTCTATATGTAAACAATTTTTTTTAAATATCCAACACAGGTCTTATTTTAAAATATTTATCGTCATTTATATGATTGTTATTCACAAAGTGAATAAATCTACGAATTTCTTGATATCTTTTCAAGGGCATGACAGCAGCAATTTCCTCGAATCTAAATTTTTGACTCCAGTAGTAGGTATAAACTGGCATGTCTACTATTCCCATAAATATATGAATGGCAATGAAGTCGAAAATTTGTGTTTTAGAAACAGCTATTGATTTTCCAAGTACTTGAAATGAATATAAGTTTGTTTGTTCAACTATCAAGTCAAAAAGATCATTGGAGAAAAACATGAAAAAATATTCTAATGGTGATTTGAGTTTACTAGGTAATGAAAAGTTGTCATCAGGAATTTTTACTGGAAAAGAAAATTGTTCCTCTGACCATACATAATAAATTTCAAGCTTCTTAGCCACAGACTTTTTTCGTGTAGTCTTTAGTTTTTCTCCACTGCAATCAGAATTGTTTTTTGCAGGATCTGCAGCACATTCGACTAATATTGGTCGAGACTTGGATCTTATTTTAATTGGTGTATATATTGTTTTATAAATCGGACATACATTTTCTATATCACAATTATTATTGTCTCCATTTGAAAAATATATAGCATCCTCTAAAAAGCCCCTTACTGAATTCGGTGAAGAGGGCGCCTCAGAACTAAACGAATCTTCCAGTGATGTTGCATCAGGTGCTACATTATCCATTTCATAAATTTTTAATACGCTTTCGACGTCATCATCGCTAGATACGTCTTCATCATCGGAAGCTCCATTTTCAGGTGGTAGTAGTGCAATAATTTTAGCAGTTCTGGATGAAAATGTAGGGCCGAGTTTAGTTCCCTGAGATATATTAATTGTAATGGTGCCTATGTTTTTATTAGACAAACACCCTCGCAAATACCTTTAAAAATGTATTTTTGAAAAACACTAAAACGTTGTTACAGTCAAATATTGCTATAAGAATATTTGGCAATGTGTCTTATAAATAACAGCTACTACACTATGCAAACTTGGTGATGTATCTTATGAGTAACATCTACTATAATATGCAAACTTGGCGATGTGCACTATAGGATACATAATATATAACAAAGTATTTACACCACAAAACACATCGTGTGAACTACAGAAAGTGTATAGAATCTTATTAAAGGTGTTTGTCTAAAGAGTTATGACCAATAACATGCAAACTGTATTACAGAAAAGTGTAAAATTTGATGAAATTT